TTTCCCTCTTGCCTAGATGCACTGCTTAGCATTGTCTATGTGTACCACAAAGATGGAGGTGACCAGCAAACAGAAGAGAGCCTGAAATGGTTGTAGTGGGAAGGTCCAGGAGCCTCTGCAGGTCATCAGCAGTTTCTGGTTTATATTGTGAAGGGACCTCAGCTAGGATTGTGCCTAGTGGCATCAGTGCCAAAGCTTTCATCTTTGCTTTTGGATAGAGTCTTGTTATGTAGTTCATGTTGGCCTAGAACTCACTATGTGTCTAGGTTGGCCTCCAACTTGCAATCCTCCTGCCTTGGCCTTCCAATGCTAGGATTACAGGTTTTTGATAGGATATCTACTTTATTAATGCAGATTGCAACAGGGGAAACTAAGCCTATTTTGTATTTCCCAAACTCTGTGCATTCATAGTGAAATAGTCAGCTAAGCATTGTCAGGCTAACAGAAAAGGCGCTATTTTACTGCCTTTCTGACTGTGAGGGCAATCCCCCAATCTCTAGCCAAAAGTTAACAGAATAAAAATGCTATAATCTTGTCTAAATGCTCATTTCAGGGAAAGTTCTACAGTCGTGGAAATGACACTAGTCATCTTTTTCCACAAGGCATGCATGCTCCCCTTTATAAAGAGGGCTTTTTGCCTCTGCAACAGCATGGCAAACTGAGTGCATGAGGAAACTGCTGTGGCACCTCCTGCTCACCTCCATTTCTAGGCACACTGACATGGCACCCCCAGCTCACCTCCATTTCTAAGCACACTGACATGGCACCCCCTGCTCACCTCCATCTCTAAGCACACTGACATGGCACCCCCTGCTCACCTGTGGGAGCCCGTTCTGGGGTTCCTCGTGGCTTTACCCAGCAGGTCCGAATAGAGGACCAGAGACAGTCCGGGCCCGTTGGAATAGGTTCCAGGCCCTCTCGAGGCTATCCTTTATTTTCTGTTTATCTCCGCAAGATTCTCTGCTATAAATCCTTCTAATATTTCCTGCTGCTCGCACTCAAGAAAACTCTGGGAAGCTGTGGGGGTGGTGGGTAAACGCCCCACACTCACCCCCATTTCTAAGCACACTGACATGGCACCCCCTGCTCACCTCCATTTCTAAGCACACTGACATGGCACCCCCAGCTCACCTCCATTTCTAAGCACACTGACATGGCACCCCCTGCTCACCTCCATTTCTAAGTACACTGACATGGCACCCCCTGCTCACCTCTATTTCTAAGCACACTGACATGGCATCCCCTGCTCACCTCCATTTCTAAGCACACTGACATGGCACCCCCTGCTCACCCCCATTTCTAAGCACACTGACATGGCACCCCCTGCTCACCCCCATTTCTAAGCACACCGTCCCTTCAGGAAGAGACAGTTTACCCACACCTGTAGTTGTAAACCTTGAAAATACACTCATGTTTTACTGGGGAAAATACACCATTACTATAATTTATTTTACTTATTATGATTGTGTGTGACAGGGTTTGAAATGTGATATAACACTGTAGAATTGTTTGCTTCCTTTATATGGGCTCCCAGGACTGAAGTAAGGTCATCTGGCCTGGACAGCAAGTGCCTTACTGGCTAAGCCACCTTACCTGCCCCACATCAGTTATTTTAACAATAAGTTAAAATATGACATCCCCAACTTTTCCATAATTCTAAGAAAGTTTCTGGTAATAGAATAGATAAATTAATAAGAAATTTATTCTGTGATGAAGAGAAAATTAGAATATAGACTGATGTTGATAGTTCTTTAAAGTGTGTAATCATGGGTCTTGAAATAATCTGGATGTTTAATTAAAATCCATATTTCTGGTCTCATATCAAATAATCTGTAAATAAGACTATAAGGTGAGCTCTAAGCACCACCTTTTTAAACCAGCTCTGAGATTGTTGAGTTGGGAAGCCACCTAAAAGACCAGCACAAATACTTTAACCCTCAAGAGGATTAGTTTAAAATCCCAAGAGGATTCTAGGAGGAGGAGATTTCTAGAGGAAGGTGCTGGGTGATTAGAAAGAAATCCTCTGTCACTCTAGATTGTGAAGTCACATCCAAAGAGACACTTGAGACACACTCATGGTAGTAGAGGGTGCACTGGCCTCTATAAAAAAAAATGGAGCTTTAATTAAGACAGTTCTCATCAGTTCTCAGCCAACAAGCCTATACTATGTGTTATACTACTCTGCCTGTAGCTAGACAGCTATTTCTTCCCTCCTGGCCCTGGGAAACACCATCATGATACTATTCTGGAATCACTAGTGTGTGTGTCAGGGGGTGGGGTGGGGGGTGGAGGTGGTGGTGGTGGTGGTGGTGATGGTGGTGGTGGTGTCTCAAGATGGCCTCAAACTCATAGTCAAGAATGGTCTTGAACTTCTTATCCTTCTGTTTCTGTGTGCCTGTACCACAGGTAAGTGCCTGGCTTTCTGTGGTGCTGGCCAGGACTTTGTGCAGGCTAAGCAAGCACTCTACCGGCTGAACTTCATACACTTCCTGCTTCATTAACGTTTTGTGAACTAAAACTAGGGAAGCTGAGCTTCTCACGACGGTACACACATGGAAGGTCTAAGAGCCCTACAGTCCTTCCATACATAGCAACCCAGGAGCCACAAAGGAAACTGAGAAAGTGGGGACAACGAGCATGAAAAGCCTAGAGGAACCGGAGAAGAAAATTTCTGGAAGAAGCTGACAATGCTACTGAAGGTCGGAATAGAGGGGGTGGGAGAATGAGGGCTGGTGTCTGACATGGAGGTCAGCAATGACTTTGATAATTAGTCTTTTTAGTGGTATGGAGAGAAACAAGGCTTGACCTAGGGATAGTTTGCAGAGGTCAGAGATGCTGACATAGGTAGAAGGGGACTTATTACACTTCTTAGGTGATCAAAAAAGCAAAGAAAGCCAGGCATGCAAGTACACACCTTTGATCCCAACACTCCAGAGGCAGAGGCAGAGGCAGAGGCAGGCAGATATCTCTCAGTTCAAAGCCAATCTGGTCCAGATGGCAAGTTCCAGCCACCCAAGGCTACAAAAGAGGCCAAGAATTTGAAAGGGAGAAAGAAGTATATGGGAGAGTTTGGAGAGGGAAAAGTATGGTGGGAGTGATGTAATTGTATTTTAATTAAAAAAAAAAATGAAAGAAACTAAAACGCAAAACAAAACAAGAAGCAAAGAAAGAGTAGTGACCAGAAACAGGTGGAGAAGATGAAATGCCTGCTGTGAGAGCTGAAACTCACTGGACATCCTACTTTACTGACTGTTTTTAATAGGCTTGCTCTCTCCTAAAAATTAAGACCAGATAGCTGACAGCACAGTGCCCTGGGCATTTACAGGGGCTGGATGTTCAGAGTGCCAAGAGGATAGGATGTTCTAAGTTTCCAGTATTTGCTTGACAATCAAACTTTTGGAAGACAATGAACTTCTAATCCTGGGAGTTCACACGACATCAGAACCAAAGCAAAGGGCTGGTTTAAGAGGCCTGTGAATTGCATAAATTAATCCACGTGATTTGGGGTTTTGTTTCTTGTTAATCTGACAAACTAGTCTTTGTAATCAGAATGAAGCCCAAGGCAACACACCTTAATTGTGTTTTTATAGATTCATATAGACAGCACTGAATATCATGTTAGAGGGAGGAAAACAGAGAACAGAGACCCTGTACTTTCCTGTTGCATTTTTTTCAAGATAAGAATTCACTTTGTAGACAAGACTGGCCCCAAATTCACAGAGATCTGCCTGCGTCTGCCTCCTGAGTGCTGGGATTAAAGGCATGTGCCACAGTGATAGTGTGCCACTCTCCCCCAAACCCTCCACTCCACTCTGGTGCAGTTTTAAATACAGATATTTGTTAGACAGAAACCCTGCGTTTAGGACAACTGTGAAGCGCTGTTCCTTGTGAACCTGCATTTACTGTTAGCTGGTAAGATTTAGGAATGCTGATTTGTGACTTGTAGATTGTTTCTTACCAGTGCTTAGCAAAGAAATGTCCTAGGAAATTTATGAACAAACATACTTTTGTGTGAGTAGAAAATAAAAATTATCTGAAATTACATGGCTTCAAATGAGTTTTGAACATTTATTTTAGTTGAACATATCCTCAAACTACAAATATGTCCCAGTAATGAAGGAATTCCAGGGAATATCAAAAGCTTTGGGAGCCAAGACCCACAGAGTAGCCCTAGTGCTTCTGAATAGCCCCTGGCTTAGAACAAAGCCATTATCATTAGGGACTGAGCCCTGACTTAATGTGTAGGGCACAGGGGGGGTTGTTAAATAAGTATGGATTTTCTATAGCTGTAAATGTCTAACAATGAGAATTGTGATATAAATAGCAACACGTCTTTTTAGGCATTTTAGGCACAGGCAGCTGAAAAAAAAAACACTCAAAGTTTTTCCAATTGCAGTAGTTAGATGATCCTATCGATCGAAGAAAGTCCTCTTGGTATAAAGAGGGTCTGAGAGTACAAGCTACAGCAGGCCACTTTGGGAGGAAGCTGCTACATCGCAATGGTCAATTCCTGATGAGATGTGTGTGTATGCAAGCGCTGACTTGTGCTCATACTGATGAAAGCCATCTCCACACAGGGAACTCCATGAGGTCTCTGAGTTCCCCAGGAAGAGGACACTGAGAAACCAGCTTTTCTCCTGAACCCATGTTGAAGTGAACTAAAGCCGAGAGCAACTGATCACAGATCCTTTGCATTTGCCAGTGTGTGCACACTGTGTAGTCCAGATGCTGTGCTTCCTCTAGCTACGGAACACTAACAACAACAAAAAAACCAACCTTGATTTAGTCATTACACCATGGAAACACTTGTCAAAACATCACAGTTTGTCCTATAGACACAAAGGTTACTTGTCAATTAAAAACAAAACAACACACAAATTATACATACACTTAAATGTTTTTAGAAAGCCTCTTCTACAGAGGCACTAGATGAGAATCCTCCACACACTAGACATGTGTACATAACACACTTACAGGGTTTAAGAATTTGCACAACCTACATGAACATGCCTTCTGGTGTCATCCGTCCAGCTTGAATCAAATAGGCTCCAAATCGAAACCCTGCTGCATGGGCGAAATACATAAAAGCATGGCTGACTGCGTAACAGCTTCCAGCGATGTGTGCTCTCTTCACGGCATTTCTGAAATACACAAATACAAAAGTTACGAACATGGGTGGTAGAAGGTCAATATAAAAAACTCAGAGTGATGAATGCAGGGGACCTTGAAACACCATAATTCTGTGGATATACATTTTTCTAAGGATTATAAAGTTATCACAGAGAAGATAGGCAATTTTCTCTATCGCTGTGGATGGTTTACTGTAACAGAGTTACTGTTACTTTCAAATGAATGGACAGGTTGCACGAAAGAATAACTGATGTAAGAGTTAAGGAGAGGTGCCTCAGTGGTACTTAGAAGTATTCTCTAATTTCCATCATGGTCTTACATTAGTAGAATACATGGTGACAATCAATGGGTGGTGTAGACCACAAACATCAGTGCAAATGAGTAGAAAATTATCTCTCTGATAGAGTAACACACAGAGAGACCCAGAGGCAGTGTGATAAGGAGGGCCTGTTAAATAAGCATCATGTCTACGTTTGTTTCACGTGTCAGCTCTCTTACTAGAGATGGGTGAGCCATCCTAATTTCTTTCTTCCACGTATCATTTCCTCCACATTCAGAAATAAGTTGACACTGTGCCAACAGTCATGTGTGGGACCTACACTTCTTTGTTGTGCTAGCCCTTGGTGCTCTTTATTTTCTCTTGGTAAAGTCACATGAGAAGTTAGGATGCACTGTTCTTAGGGAAAAGTGACATGGAAATGGCTTAGCAAGCAAGCCCCAGGGGAACTGCATTTCCAGGATGACAGCCAGCAGAGTGGGCCCAGTTACAGTCACCTGTGTTGGGTTTGAAGCATCTCCTCATACATTTGCTCAAAGGCTTTCTCTCTTGTTAATGATACTATGGTACGTATGTTCTCCACAGCTTCTGTTGTTATCTTATAAGGTGGGACAATAAAATATAGAAATAATATTAGTGATGTTAAACTCCCTGGTAGTGAATTCCCATCTGGGGATACAGTATTTCAAATCAATAAGTTTTTCCTGGCAATTACTCTTACCCCCACCCCAATAAGATAAAAATTACTTGATGGAAATTTCTTTTGAAATGATTTAATATATACAGTTTAAGGCCCTTAAATCTTTACTGAATTTAATTTTAATTGTTTCCCCAGCAGAGAAATCAAACGTTGGTGAGCATGTTCACATGCAAATGGGCTTCTTATAAATTATGAAACATTTCTTATAAAAGATAGCAGACAAATCAAATAAATAATTATTCTGTCACAGAATTGCAAATCATAGCCAAATAGGACTCAGGAATATCCCAACAAGGCATCATACAAAGTGGCTGTAAAATTCTTTATAAGATAAAACCATTTCCTATTTTGAAGTCTAGGAACTTAAAAAGACATGTAATTCAAATATAACTAATGTTTCTTTATGCTTACATAGTGTTCAACAAGAATGCAATTACATGGGTTTCAGAATGGGGAAGGCTTCTGGCTTAGAATAACATTTGCATCTGTGTTATCCTCATTTTGTTTCAGACTGCCTCTGTAGACTGCCATACAGGGGACCCAGGTGGACACCTCATATTTATTAAAGGACATTTTGGGTTGCAACAGTTGACTAAATAATATTAAAATACTAGGATTCTGCTCTTGATTTTCATGTTCAGTTGTTTCAAATTCTCATTAAATTCATAATTTTATTAATCTCAAAGAACCCTTCACTTTTCACACATGTTGTTTACAAGGAAAATGATTAAGACTTGTTCTAGAGCAAAAAAGAAATGAGCAATAAGAAACGCGTGATTTTTCACAATGTAGAGAGGAACTTCACTATAGAAATTTAGAAGATACTCTAGTCTTTTTAAAAATGTATAAGTGTCTTGCCTGCATGCATGTCTGTGTACCATATGCATGCCTAGTGCTTCAGAGGTCAGAAGAAGACATTGGATCTCCTAGAAATGGAGTTAAGCTTGGTTGTGAGTCACCGTATGGGTGTTGGGAACTGAACTCAGGTCCTTTGGAAGAGTAGCAAGAGCTCTTAATCACCGAGCCACCTCTGAAGCCTCAGGAAATACTATAGTCTTAAGAAAAACTAATAAAGCCATTTTCATCAGAAAAAAAATTGATGATTTCTTCCAGTTTACATAAGCAGCTAAAAGGAAGACTAGTATATTTTATTATTAAAATTTTAAATGTACATTGATTAATTGATAGTGTGTATGCGTTTGTGTATGGGAGGGGACGGGGAGGTCATCCATGCAGAGGGAAGATGACAACTTTAGGTGATAGTCTGTTTTTTCCTTTCATTATGTAGGATTCCAGGATTAAACTTAGATCATCAGGCTTGGCAGCAAGTGCTTTTACCTGCTGAACCATCTCGCTGGCCTGGTCTATATTCTAAGTTGGTCTCTGGTAAGTTGACTTACTGAAAGCAATAGGGACAGATTCAGATTACCTAGTTTAATGGCAGTTACTAATTGTACAATCACAGCTTAATCTCATGACACAAAACTAAAACATCAAATGGCACATTTATAACAAAAGCACATGACACAAAAAATGGGATAAAAAATCTAATTAATGTCAATAATCAAGAAAATGTTCAAATTATCACCATTTAAAAAGCATACAGGGAGGCCTAACCAACTCTTCACTGTCATCAAGACAAATATTTGCTAAGTAGTTCAGTTTATCCAGTACAAGCAGACATTCCAAGGGTCCTTATCAATAGTGTAAGAAATGTGGAAATGTCCAAGGGTCAGGCAAACCAGATCACTAAGTAACTGTCTGCACTTAAGATTTATTTGTGATGTTTTATACTATGCTAGCTCTAATCCAGCTACTACAATGTGGACTATAGATGGCAAAGTTATTTTCATATTCAGAGGATAGACAGCAATTGGCAAAGAGCTTTGAAGCAATATGAAGAGAGAAAAACCCTTGGAACATATTGCAGCTTCTGAAAGGCTGCCATGATAAAAAAGGAATGTAGTATGCAAAGCTACCCAAACAAAACTAACCACAGAATACCTCCCCACCCCGCTACCAGAGCATTAAAACACAATGCAAGAGTAGGAAGCCTGAGATGGTAATGCATGGCTAGCCACCAGAGGAACAGGTGAGTAGAAGATGGACGAATACTCGACTTTATATCACTATACAAGGAGGATGCCTGCATGAGGTCAGTCCTTCCACCAAGTGACCCTCTTTCAACGCAGATGGATACTCGATGGCAGTATTTTCCTAAACCTCAAACTTAGTGATCACTTTTTTGACTGTGGATTATAAAAAAAAGATAGGTAGTATTTAGGTATTATTGATTTCATTGTCTTGTATTCAGTAGCTATATGATTTCCTATACATTTTGAAAAATAAAATACTCAGAATTATCATTTGAGATAATATAAATAGAATAATATTTCTAATTTCCAAAAAATAGAATAAAAATAGAGGACAGGGAATCATGGCATTAGAAAGTTCCCCTTGACAGTAATGGTAATAATGGATGGCACTGTTATGTGCACTTGCTATCTTCTGGCTGCCGCTCTAATTGTTTTGAATAACGATGCCGTTTTGTGTAATACACAGATCTGTAACGGACACTCTTACTATCATTCTCGCTTTACAGAGGAGCAAACAGAATGTGGCAAATGTATACGTAACATACTATGTCACATATGCAGGAGCTGGCTCAGCTTTGTTCTGAGTCACAGACCACGTTACTGTAACACACCTACTCCTTGTCCAGAGCTGGTCCACATGCATTTCAGCATGTACACAGCACTCTACAGATTCCTGAGAGGTGAAGTCATAAAGACGTGACTAATGACAGAAATAAGAGCCTGAACTTTACCTTTCCAGCACGCTTAAGTTCTTGCTTATCCTTGTTGGCAAATCCAGTCACTGCTGCAGTTTCAATCATTCCTGTCACTGCAAGCACAGGCGCAAAGCTGAGAATCAGGAGTGTCATCTCCCATCCGTATACAAAGGAGATGAGAACAGACAGCACCGTGTTGGTCACATCTTGCATTATGATACCAAGTCTTGAAGTTGCTGCCTAGAATCAGACATATTTGGGGTAGGGAGTGAAACTTAAAAGAATTCTTACACGTTCCTGTAAAATAAGGTGCTTTTAAACTTCCACTTGGACTTGTTCTTAAAGATTAATGAGGGCACATATTTCGTGAAAACCTGGCCAAGGAATCCTTTCATTTTTCCATTTATGTTCAGTATTGAGACAGCCACATGGAATAGTGTCTATTCTAACACTGTAGGAAGACTATAGAAGCTTTGGCTTATTTGAAATTAAATATGACCTGCTTTGTTTGTTTTGTTTATTTTTTATTTATTTAATTTTTTTTTTTTTTTTTTTAGATAAGGTCTCTCTACACAGTCCTGGTGGTCCTGGAGCTCACTGACCAGGCTGGCCTCAAACTCCCAGAGATCCATTTGCTTCTGCCTGCTGAGTGCTGAGACTAAAGCTGTGCATCACCATACCTCCACAAATGTGACCTTTTTAAAGGTCACTCTGAGAGCTCTTTTTAGCTGTGTGGGATTTCACATTCTGATTCAAATGAAGCGTATTGAAAGTTAGAGTAACAGTTTCTTTTGTCTCCTTAAATATGTTCCTATATGCTTGTGTGTGTGTGTGTGTGTGTGTGTGTGTGTGTGTGCATACTCTATCTCAATCCTAATATACTTGGTTTTCTTTTAAATAACTAGTCTATTATTATTATTATTATTATTATTATTATTATTATTATTATTGTGTGTATATGTGCTGCCTACATGGAGAGGTCAGAGGACAGCTTTGTGAGTTGTTTCTTTCCTTCCACCTTTATGTGGACTCTGAGAATCACATTCAAGTTCTGGTTGGGCTTGAATGACAGGTGCCGAGTCATCTTTCCAGTCCCCTAACTTATAAACTTGTGAAGAGAAAGCTGGTGCTTGAAAAAGCAGCAGGGTAATGGGTATTGCGAACAACAACAAGAAAATGAAACATAAGAGTGAGTTAGTATTTTTTTTTAAAGATTTGTTTATTATGTATACAGTATTCTGCCTACATGAATATGCACGCCAGAAGAGGACACCAGATCTCATTACAGATGGTTGTGAGCCACCATGTGGTTGTTGAGGATTGAAATCAGGACCCCTGGAAGAGCAGCCAGTGCTCTTAAACTCTGAGCCATCTCTCCAGCTCCTATCTGTGTTTTTACATGAGGTTTCACATTGTGATTCTGGCTGGCTTAGACCTTGTGGAAACTCTCCTGTCTTTGTCCCCCAAGTGCTGAGATTACTGGCATGAAATTATAAGTAAGCATGTATCGTGTTTGACTTATAATTTTCCTTAATAGGCTTATCTCTCCATGTACTATCCCAATGACTACTTTTTCATGCATGGCACCATCCTCACCTTGCTCTGGCTTCCCCCCTACTTTTTTGACACAATGCCTGCATGCCTGGTTCATCATATCTAGGCTCTAACATCTACTCTGCTTCTTCTCCCACAGAGACAGAAGACCAACATTCAGCTATTATAACCCAGCTGTGTTGAATGGAAAGATTAGAGGCTCTCTTTCACTGATGTGTGTGCTTTGAATATGATACTTATCATTTTCTTTTTTATAATTAACAAATGGGTCTCATTAAGTAAAGGTGTAAGCAGCAATATCAAGACAGAAAAAAAGGTAGAAACATCATAGTACAAGGTAAGAAAATATTCCCCAAATAATCTTTAAATAAGTAGAATTGTCTTTATAGCTGTTATATAAGCACTACATGCTTAAGGTGGGTGTGATAGCAGAAGCCTTTAGTCCTAGCACTCAGGAGGCAGAGGCAGGTAGGTCTCTATAAGTTTGAGCTCAGATTGAACTGGTGAATTCAGTGAATTCAAGCTACATACTGAGTTCAAGGCCAGTCAATATTATGTAGTAAGACTCTATCTCAACTCCCTTCCCCTCACAAAGGGCTACATGTCTTAGGAATCTTCCTTTGGTGGGGAGCTTGATACTTAGGCAATGCACTAAAATTTTAACTTTCTTTAGTGCTATGAAGAAAAATAATGAAAACAGATTCTCACTGTGTGGTCCTGGCTTGTCTGGAACTCTCAGTGTACATCAGCAGCCTTGAACTCATAGGAATCCTCTTGCTTCTGTCTCTCAAGGGATGAGGTTAAAAGGTGTGTGCCACTACACCCTGCCAGCCACCTGATTTTTGATGAAGATGCCAAAAAATGCATATTGAAAGGAAGATACTGTTCTGGCTGGTTTTCATGTCAACTTGACAGGAACTAGAGGCATCTGAGAGGAGGGAGCCTCAGTTCAGAAAAATGACTCCATCAGATTGGGCTGTAGGCAGGCCTGTAGGACATTTTCTTAATTAGTGATTGATGGAGGAGAGCCCATTGTGGGTGATGACATCCTTGAGCTGGTAGTCTTAGGTTCTGTAAGAAGGCAGGCTGAGCAAGCCATGGGGGGCAAGTCAGTAAGCAGCACTCCTCCATGGCCTCTGCATCAGCTCTTGCCTCCAGGTTCGTGTCTTGTTTGAGTTCCTGTCCTGACTTCATCAGTGATGGACTATGATGTGGATGTTGAAGTGTAAGCCAAACCAAACCTGTCTTCCATAAGTTGCTTTTAGTCATGATATTTCATCATAGCAATAGTAACCCTAAGACAGACACACTCTTCAGCAAATGGTGCCTGGAAAATGAATGCCCACATGTAAAAGAATGAAAGTATATCTTTAGTTCTTACCCTGAACAAAACAACTACAAATTGGTCAAGGATCTCAATTTCAGACCAGAAATCTGAACTGCTAGAAGACAGATTCTCTCATAAACTTAATGGGTTTTGTAAAATTGCATCTCTCACAAATTATACAGCTTTCAGTAAACTATCAAAAAGTGATGGTGGTGGTGTGGTGGAGAGATGACTCAGCAGTTAAAAAGCACATGCTGCTCTTCCAGAGGACCTGGTTCAATTCCCAGCACCCACATAACAGCTCATAATTGTTTGTAACTCCAGTTCCAGGGAATCTGATTCCCTAACATAGACACACATACAGGCAAAATACCAATGCACATAAGATAAAAATAAATAAGTTTTTAAAAAAAAAAAAAAAACAGCCACAGGGGCCATTTTACATGAAGGGAGTTCTGCTTCTGGCCACGATGGAGTAACAGATTCTTCTATCAGAAACAAAAAGAAAGTACATGGCAGGTTGGTTGTCAAGGCATTTGACGTAAGGTAGCCAGTGGCAGAGATGGTAGACAAACATAGTCATTGCCTCAGCTACTCCTTTAAGTTTTCAGGGCAGTGGAGGGATGTGAACTGAAACAGAGCACAGCAGACTCTGGAAAGGAAAGAGGGCTAAATCGAGACACCAGGACACCGACAGAAGGTGCTTTTTGAGTGCAGCGGAAAAATGCATGCACATGAGGACTGGGAATACATAGAGAGTGCCTGATTAGAAAGATTTGTGATTCACAGGGCTTTGGGTAGAGTGCACAGAATGGTCTTGCGTTGGAAGTAGATTTCAGTCATGTTGAACAAATCATAACATAAACACTTGAATAGAACAAACCTTTCTGAGGTGATTTTAACTTACTGAAGAATAAAACTCATATATAGAAAGATAAAATACCTGGCATCTAAATTGCCAAATTCCTAATGTGTAGTACCTAATAAAAAATAACTAGGTGTACTAAAATGTAGCAAAGTGAGACTCATAATAAGGACAGAAGTTAACCAACTGAAATTGCTCCAGAAGTAACGAAGGGTTAGATGCTGTGCTGTCTCACTCACACATAGACTCTGAAAACAGCAAGTTCATAGAAAGAGAATAAAGTGGTGTCTACCAGACCCTGGCCCTTCAATGCCATGCTTTACAGCCACACATATCAGGAATCACTGTGTGTTCTAATTCAATCACACAGCTTTTGGCTTGAGTGTTGTGACACTATATACTAAAAAAAATATAAAAAAAATTTAAGTATTACCAGAGTGAACACTCATTATAACACTCCTACTCTGCAGGAAAACAACATTCAGAAAAAAAATAGGAAATTTGAAATGGAATATCAGAATTTCTTCATAAAATATGAAAATGAGACAAACTAATTTTCTAAGTGGCTTATTTACCAGACAGACAAAGAAATTGTGCATAGACAATAGTTAAATTAATTACATTTGATTGCAGCAGTGGAAGAGATGTGTCCAGAATGCAAACTTTGTTGTAACACTATTGTTGGTTAATAACTATTGCTCAGAGTTGAAGATATCAAAGGAGCAACATCAATAGTAAATGTTTGATAACTAGATTACTTTGATAGCCAATCAGATGGCACACACTTGCTACCTTGGGAAGCTGAGGCAGGAGGATCTTGAGTTCAAGGACATTTTGGGCTACATAATATAAGGCCAGTTTAGTCTACATAGCAAGATGCTTTCTCTTCTCTCTCTCCCTCTTCTCTCTCTCTTTCTGATAGTGAGTATTTCCATATTAATATAAATATATATATAAATGTAAAGATTACATATATAAAGATTTATATATAAAGATTCTTTTCTGCAGTGGTTTCCTGGCTCACATTGGGTTTACATATGTTAATACTAATATCCATCTTGTTTCTATTTTTGACACATGGAGCTTAAAGTGACTGAAAAGTTAGGTAATGTTAATAATTTATATGTGGCACAACTATACATGAGAATACTTTCAAAAACCTGAGAGAGAACTATGTCAACATAACCTGAGTGGTGGTAGCATAACCTGAGTGGTGGTAGTTAAAATATTTAGAAGAAGAAATAAGATTAGTTGGACAAACAGACAAAAGCTTGCCAAAATTAAGAATGCCCACTATATTTACTCTGTGTTATAATTCATCAGTGTGCTTTTTGTGAAAAATCATTAACTTTGTCATTGAATTTATCATAGTTTTGGATGTCAGATTTTGCTACACACTTGATAACCATTCTTAATAAACTCAGCTTAAAACCTCAGGACAGGATTGTAATTATATGTCAGCTCATAGTGTGCTAAATAAAGTCATTTCAATAACTACTAATGTTGCTTGACTCAAAAGGACTATCAAGTTGTTTTATGTACATCCCATGTCAGAGTGAAATCAAGAAATGAGGTCAGCATTGTCCAAGTTAATATGCTAGCACAAACGGATCAGCTCATTGTCCCTGGAATTAATAAATGAAGTAAATGTTTATGATTTCTTGAGGCAACATAATTATAGCTCTGATGAGCAGAGCTCTTGGCTTTAGTATTGGGTCTGATGGTGGCATAAGTGTGCACCATAGTGCCAATAACATTTTTTTGTGTGTGAAAAAATGAGGTAAGACCTCTGGTTGATGAGTTACTAGAATGCATAGAAATAACAATACCTTGTAATTTTTGTGGAATCCAGTTTCCAAAAGAATCTAAAATGGATTTGCACTTTTATTAAAACTGCTTATTATATAGGAGTCTGTTGACAGACATGTGGGCAATAAGCCATTACCTTGGGCTAAAACAATACTAGTTAAAGAGGCTATGCTACTCAACTCTTTTAGAAAAGATGTTGTCATACGACTACATTTCACCAATGCGTCTTGATCATTGTTCTCAAAGCATCTAAAAGTGACAGGGAGAATATCTGTCAGCAAAAAAGAATTTGTTAGACAAATTCAAAAAAGCTGACTGCATATACACATATAATACAATGTATATAAGATTATATATTTTGAGTCACTAGTTAAAAGTTTCTAACTAAGACATACTATTATTAAGGATCTGTCTTATAAACATTCATCCTAATATTCTTGGCAAACTATAACTGAAATTGCATAATACAGAAACTGAAATATCTACATTCATATGATAGAAATATGAGACCAAATTATTTCTAGACTCATCTCTAGTATCTCTTCTTGAGAAAGGAATTAGTGCGCAAATGAGACAGGCAAGTCATTCTTTGTCTGATATGAAAAGTATCCATCACATTGGGTGTGAACTCACCATTATGTAGCCAAGCAAACATTTATGTGAACTCAAATTAGTAGAGAGGCAGACTAAGTCTCATACTTAGATGTCATTTTACCTTTGAAATTCATCGAGTTCACAGTGTCTAGGACCTGACCATTTATTCTATAGCTATTGCTATTTGAAAAAGATTTATTTATTTTTTTTTATGTGTCTGGGTGTTTTGCCTACATGTAATGTCTGTGTACCACGTGCACACTTGGTACCCTCGGAAGCCTGAAGAGGGCATTGGGTCCTCTGGGATTGGAGTTACAGATGGTTGTGAGCTGCCGTGTGCATGCTGGAAACCAAACACAGATCCTCTACAAGAGCAATGAGTGCTCTTAACCACTGAGCCATCTTTCCATCCCCATCACAATTACTTTTGATTGAAGTAGAATGTTTTGGCTTGTTCAGAAGTTGTTGTAAGAGCAGTATTTTCAGTTGTAATCAGGAAGTTTCAAATGAATGATCACCAGCACTAATTAGATGCTTATAAAGGGCCAAGCTGGGCAATGTTCTGTTTTTAAATTTTATTTCATGTGTGTGTATGTGTGTGTGTGTGTGTGTGTGTGTGTGTGTGTGCGTGCGTGTGCATACACACACTTGTGTAAATGTTAAAAGATGACTGTGGAGTTGGATGTCTGCTTCCACCTTCATGTTGGTTCTGGGGCTAGAATTCAGGTCACCACACTTGTGTAGTAACTGCCTTTACCTGCTGAGCTCTCTAGGCCCATGAGCAATATTCTTTTTTTTCCCCAAGAAAGGTTTCTTTCAAAATATTTGAAAGATAGTCAGTAAGAAAAAATTAGCACATTAGCACAGTAAAGGAAAAAATAGCACTTTTGTGGGCTGGGGTTTTGCTTGGACTTACCAGGACTGACATTTTTCTGCCTAGGGTTGTAACTGGCACTTCACATATGGTGGTTGTTCACACCAACCTCTTGTCTGTTAGATGAATACTGTGCTTAATGTGTTTTACACATTTTTACCCCATGTGTGTTAGTAAGATAAAGATCTTTAGCCCTATTTTAGAATTGAAATCTTATCTAAGGGCTGGAGAGATGGCTCAGAGGTTAAGAGCACTGACTGCTCTTCCAGAGGTCCTGAGTTCAATTCTCAGCAACCACATGGTGGCTCACAACCATCTGTAATGAGATCTGGTGCCCTCTTCTGGCCTGCAGGGACACATGCAGGCAGAACATTGTATGCATAATAAATAAATAAATCTTTAAAAAAAAAAAAAAAAAAAGGCCGGGCGGTGGTGGCGCACGCCTTTAATCCCAGCACTCGGGAGGCAGAGCCAGGCGGATCTCTGTGAGTTCGAGGCCAGCCTGGGCTACCAAGTGAGCTCCAGGAAAGGCGCAAAGCTACGCAGAGAAACCCTGCCTCGAAAAACCAAAAAAAAAAAAAAAAAAAAAAAAAAGAAATCTTATCTAATGAAATCTTAGAGAGTCTCCTTAACTTTGTTAGAGTTCATATTCTAACAGAGCTTAAAAAATTTATCTTGGACTGAGATGATGGTTCTATGGATTTGAAGGTCTAAGTTCTGGTCCCTAGCAACCGTATAACTTGGGCATGGCCATATGCGCCTGTGGTCACAGCACCGTTGGAGCTGGAGACAGAAGATAGCTGGGGTGTTCTGGCACCAGCTGAGCTCCAGCTTCAGTCAGAGTCCTCGTCTCAAGGGAATGAGGAAGAGAGTGATAGAGCAGGATACCTGACATCCTCCTCTGACCATAAGTGTATGGGCACGCATGTGCATGTACACACCCACACACCCATACTAACAAAAACAATCTCACTTAAATTAAGACCAAGACAATTTGCTTTGTACTCATTTTCTCAATTAGATTAAAATTTTGTTTTATAAGGGTTAATTTTATTAAAATAATTTGAAAAAAATGGCATTTGTCCTATCTATCTGTATCTCTCTCTCTCTCTCTCTCTCTCTCTCTATATATATATATATATATATATATATATATATATATATCCATCTATCCGCCTATCTGTCTATCTATCTACCATCTGTCTATCTAATTTCACCATGTAGCCCAGGTTGGCCTTGAATTCACTATGAGAAACAAGCTAGCCTGGAGCTTGGAGCCATCCTCCTGTCCCAGCTTCCCAAGCACTGAAGTTATAGACATGAACTACCACATTTGACTAGCAAGTTGTTCTTTTCCTCTTGCAACAACCCCACTCCCACATTTACTTGAGCATCATGTTGAGTCAGTGACCTGAATATGATGAACAATGTTTTATTTACCTGTGATGTGACAGGCTGATGTTATACACACTGTCTAACACGATCTGCTTAACAACCCCCACAGAGCACATCCCTGAATCTGAATCACTAGATATCCCTTTAAGTAAGGTCTTAGTTTCTGGGGAAATGAAAATTAAACTTTGTTTCATTGACATTTCTGGAGCTGGGTAAAGTGCATGCCTTTAATTCTAGCTTTTGGAGGCTGAGCAGGATGGAGCTTCATGGGTTCGAGGCCAGCCTGAGCTGCTTAATGATGCCTTGTCTCAAAACAGTGCAATGGAACAATCTGTGCTGGGTGTATTTTCTTTCATCTTTCTACTTTTCTTGTTCTATTATTTCCTTCTGAACTCTTGTCTCTAATTCTTAGAATCTTCTTTAGTTTTAGATTTATCCTAATACATGGGCTAAAACATCTTTATTTTAGGCTGAAAATAACCTGATCTCAAAGATATCCTTCAGTCTTTCCTTAAGAATTCCCTGTTGGACATGATACTCCTTGGTCTCCTTATTGCTAGGTCACCTCAGCATAACACCCAGATAGGCACAGACACGCATGTATAGGTACACATGCACACCACACAGCATGCTGTTTAATAAATAAGACCACAGGACTGGCAAGAAGGCTCAGTGGGAAAAGACACCTTCTGCTAAGCTGGATGACCTGAGTTTGATCCCTAGGCCCCACATGGTAGGTGGACAGAACTAACTTCAGAAAGCTGTTCTCTGCCCTCCATGTGTGGGCTGTGATTCATGCTCACTCACCCACAGAATACACAAATATAATAAAAGGAAATTAAAAATCACAATACACATACCCCCTGAATCTGTGCTACATCCATGGCTAATGTGGTGGTCAAGGCTCCTGGGCTATTTTCTTTATCATCATACCAGGCAATATCCTAGAGAGGAGAATTGACACATAGTTAGAAAAACATTCTTCTCAGATCTGTGATCTTCCTATTAAATTTGAAAGAACTTAGCTGCCTTATCACTTGCCAGTAAGCAGTATGGATAGCTGACTTCTGCATCTTATTTCATAAAGCTTTATGTTTTGTATAGACTGAAGAATGTAAGACCAAATTGTGGGCTCCTTACCATATTACAATATGTAGAATGTAGAATTACAGTTGCAGAATGATTATTGTGAAAAAAGACTATTTGCCACAATAGAGAGAGCTGCAGTTTTATTTCACAAGTACTTTGCGAGGAACAGACTATTTATTTATTTATTCATTTATTTAGGTTTTTGGTATTGGGGGTTGAGTCTAGGGCTCAATACATGTTACATACCCATTAGCAGTGAGCTGCATATCTCGAACATTCTATTTGCATAGTAGAGTATATCCAGTACAACTTAGAAACATTTTCAAATATTTTTACCTAAATAGATCAGTGATAAAAAAAATATCCTTCTCCTTTAGGAAGGAGGCAAGATTTTACTCAACACTTTTTATGACTCCCTACGTTTGGTAAGTCTTAGGTATTGTGAGATACGAGTTGGAAGGCTGAAAAACTGCTGCCTAGAAGCATGGAGTCTAAAGAAGACAGGTAAAAAACATGAGCAATAAAAGCACAAGGTAAGAATTGATTTCATTTCAGCAGCTAATAGAGATAGCCCTTCTGAGCACTTCTCAGCCCGAGGAAATGATTTCCTTTTATTAAGTGTTTCCTCCTACTCACTCAGACAACACTTACGAATTAAAAACCAGTGGAGAAACTGACAAATATGCTTCTATTAAAAAAAAAAAAAAAGCAAAAATTGTTGGCTTGACACAACCCAGCCAGGGCTCTGAGGCCCAGGTTACACAGTGCTGTCAAGGAAACCAAAATAAAACAGAAGCAGGTTGTACATGCAGTATGAATCATGCAGTGTGTTAGAAGAATGATGTGTGGAGGAATGCGTCAAGAGTAGGGTGGGTGTAACTGCGCACAGTTCTGTGCCCACTCCCATGGGAAGCTTCCCCAAAGTCTTAGATGTCTTAGGTGACCTGTGGCTATGATCACCGTCTGTGAGTGAAGCACCCCAGCAGTAGGTGAACACTCATGAGTGATGGCTGCAGTACGGGTACAGCATCAGAGCTGGAAGTCAAGCACTGTTAGTCTGTATCACTTGCACTCAAATTCAGAGATTTCATCTACTTTCTAGTTGTTTCTAGACTTTAACATGACATGGAATACATGAAGAAATTTTAGGCATGATATGAAGAACACAGAAAATTAATATTGAATATTATGTTCCAGATTCTGTAGTAACTTTTTATACCACACAATGAATAGTCTTAGCTACCTGTCTAATCAGCAGTATGCCCAAACTGCTTTTCTACAAGTCAGTAATTGTCTTCCTGTGTATGTGATCTATGCCAAAATATTTAGCAGGTTTTCTGGAATTTAGCTGTCATTAAGTGAAAACTGGCTTGCTTTCTGTTCTCCCAGGGGTAATATAAGTATAAACAAAGGCTATTGGGAATTCTGATATACATTTTCCCTACTAATAATTTTACTAGAAATAAAAATACAATCACACTCCAAGGAGTGTGTGGCATGTATTTTTTTCTGTAGTTATTTCAGCTGCACCATGAGGTACTATAGTAATCCACATTTTGTGGACTGGGGAAATGGATATGCTGAGGGATGGAGGGGTTAGGCCAAGGGCAGACAGCTGGCTAGTGCCAGGGCCAGGATTTGAGCTTCAGCAAAGAGGCAACAGTTCTTAGGAAATTATTTTGTTCTGCCTCTCATCTGGCTGAAGCATTCTGGTTGAGTTTTATTTCTTATTTCTTGAGCTTTGGTATTTGGTACCTTACAACCTTTTGGAAAAAGCTTCAGGCCTTTTTGAGACTCCTAAGTGGCTGCTATCAATGCTATTATCAGATAGATTCATTTTTTTACCTAGAATCCCCAAACAATCCAATTTACAGGGAATAGGACAAAAACAAAGAACAGAAAACAAAGCAACAACAACAAAAAACCAAAAAACTCAAACCCTACAGCTCTGTAGATCAATATTGGCCATTAAAAAAGACAATGAACAATATTTCTATCATGGAAGTTAGCAACAATCAGAATAATTTTTCAACTGAAAGGCTCTTGAGTAATCACATAAAAGATAGATTGTATACCTACAGAAAACCACACCCGATTCTATAAACATGTCTACTTCAGTGAGATTCCAAAATGGTCGTAAAAAGGAACTGCAAGCCTCAGCATGCTTTCGAAGGCTTCAAAGTTTTATCTTAGGACAGAAAACCAGGCAATAAAAGTTAGGTAAAATCCCATATTAGCAGTCTCTCTTGCCACAGACTTCAATGCTGTGAAGGCACTTACCAAGAAAAGGCTGAAAATGCTGTGCCTACACCAGCCCCTCCATCAAGAAAGGCAAATATAAGAAGCAAGAAGAATGCTTAAGGACAATTGTGAAAAAACAAAAAGTATGATGAAAGGGGCCGAGTTGAAATTATAGGGGAATTGAATAAAGTTGGTCAAGTAGTACCTGGCTTCTTTGTTCAACTTTACATGTTTTAGAAGGACAGAATTGATGGCTTATAGAATAGCAAGTCCCTGTTTAAGAGTGAGTGGTATTGTGCCGATGGTCTTCACATAAATCGAGAGAAGGATCTGTGTTGCATTAACCACTGGACCACCAGCGTATTTGACAACTGTCCTTCAGGTTAAAGCAGCTCAGGATCTTGAGGTTCTTCTCTTAAAACACTTTGTGAACAGGATCTGAAGAGATTGCTCAGTGGTTAAGGACAGTTGCTGCTCTTTCAGAGGATCTAAGTTAAGTTTCCAGCATATAAGTCAGGCAGTTCAACAGCCTCTGACTCTAGTCCTAGGAGCACTGCAGCCTCTGGCCTCCGTCATCACCTACATTCATGTGCACATACCCATGCAGATATATATGCATACTAATAATTAAAAATAAAATCATTAAAATATTCTGTGAACAGAGGGAAAGTCCAAAATAACACAGAGAAAATATAAAAATCTACATTTGTTTGTGTGAAATATCAAGATATTCAGGAAACAGTGAAAAAAAAAACAATTCTATGAACATAAATACACTTGAACTGGGGAAAATGAATTCATGAAGATAAAAACAGTAAGTCAGTAGGTGTGAAATGTAGTTTTAGTTAATTACAGTCTCACCTTAATTAAGATTCGAGGTGGGGACATAAGGTGCTAATACATAAAGACATATAAAATTTACTAAGAGTTACATGCAGGGGTTAGATCTACTTTTTAAAAATTGTTTTAGATTAGAGGCTGTTTCAAAGGTAGAGAAAGCTCTGAGCCAGGACCTTTCTGCATAGAGAGTGTGATGGCACTCACTGCTGGAGACTGAGTGCTGCAGTCCAAAGGACCATGGAATTCCATCGGAAAGCCTTCACTGGCCCGTGGATGAGATCTTAGGAATTAGTGACTCCTGCAAGGCTGTTCTGAGGTCCCCAAGTTCCTTTTCAGTTTTAATGTGTGGTCTTTCTTTCTCATCCCCTGACACAATGTGGTGCATTAAAGAGAAGCTAAATGAAATGAATACTAGTAGACCTGAAGTCTTTGTTTTATTTTCAAACCTCATAATTTGGATGTGCTTTGCTTTGGGGATTTTTTTAACTTTAATTTTGTGTATGTATGTGTGTGTCTGTATATGGATATGTGCATGTGAGTGTAGTTCCCCTAGAAACCAGAGATGATCACATTCCCTGGAGTCAGAATTATAGGTAGCTGTAAGCTACCTGACAGGGATTTTTGGAACTGAACTCTGCTCTACTGTAAGAGCAGTGTGCATTCTTAACTGGTGAGCCATTTCTTCAGCCCCGGATGTGATTCTACTAGGAGAATATGCTTATAAGAATTCTGAAGGCAGATTTTGCTGCCTAGAACCACAACAAAAAAATTATGCTTTTCAATGATCTGATACAGAGACTATTTCAAGAAATGGGAAAAAAAACTAAAGGTTAGAATGTTTGATAACAAATCTCAATTGAAAGAAGAAAAATCCACTAAACGCACTGACCTGGTACAGCATGGCTTTGAATGCCAAGTGTCTTAATCTCATGGCTAAATTTTCCTCTGCTCTGCCATAAAACAACCCCTAGGAAACAAACAAACAAAAAATTCTACATTTATTATTAACTTTCTTTGTATCATTCAGTTATTATATTTCAACTGAAACAGAGAAGATAATGTAAACATGGAATCCTGCCCAGGGCTGGTTAGTCAATTAAAAGTTTACCTGCATCAGGTAAGTAACAAGAGCAACAATGCCCAAGATGACTAACATCATGGAGTAGAGTTCTGCATCATGTTTTAATGTAGTTTTATTTTTATCTTCAAACATCTGAGAAGGAACAGAGTTTCTATTAGAAGCTTGGAGGAAAGTGCAAACAGAAAACAAAATGACCTCATTTAAAATGTCCACATATATCAGGATTTCCTACAGGGATTGTAACATAAGGAAAAAACTATGCATTTCTGGGCCAAAAAATTACTGTTATTATTCTCTGTTTACTTTAAATATATAGGATAAAATCAATTTACTTTTCACTTCCCTACATTTGCTCTGTAAATGTATTAGACAAACAAGTCTTCTATTATCATAGCATTTTTTCTTTTTTATTATTATTTGACTTTTCCCTCTCCCCCTCCCTGATTTGCATATATTTGTGTGAATTTGGGCTTTTGTGTATAGGTCAGAGGTTAACTTTGGTAGCATGTTCTTGCCCTCCACCTTGCAGAGGCAGGGCACATCCTCTGTTACTATACTGCACACTCTAGGCTAGCCATCCACCAGCTCCTGTCTCTGCCCAGATCTTGCCATAAAGTGCTGTATTACAGATGTGCACTACATTTGGCTTTTAATGAGGGTTCTAGAATCAAATTCAGGTTGTCAGATTTGTGTGGTAAGCACTTTACCTGCAGAGATAGCTTTCTGACCATATAGTATTTTTTCAATGAGATCAGCAGTTTGAATTATTGTTTCTAATAACTTTTAATAACTCACATTTCTTAATTTTCATCTAAAGTGAGATATCTGTATGTGCCCCTAGAAGTTGTTCACGAATTTAAGTACTACACACACACATTGGCATAGAATGTACCTGTGTATGGGGCTGCTGAAGACAGTGTGGGTCTAGTGATTTCCTGAAGCAGTCTACTCTTCTGGGGCTTTGGCAAAATCCCAAACTCATATTCCCTATCCCTGAGCTGGCTGGTAATAAAAATTTGTCATTGTTTGGACAGGTTGGGAAGAGAGAAGCTGTATCTGTCTCTTTTATTGCGCCAGTGCTTAGGAATGCTGATACAACACTGGAGTCAGAATTAGAAAACAAAGCAATTTCTCTACAGCTCACCCAGCCAGCAGGACCCAGCTGAACATTATGAGACAGCAATGGTTCATTTCCCAGGCACGGGAGCTGCCTTTCCTACTACAGACCCTGTCCGAGGGACGACCCACAGAAAGTTCTGGATTCCCCTTTGTGGATCAATATGCTACAGCTCTGTGTTCTCTCACTATGCTTAAATTGTAAAAAGCATAAACAAGTGAGTTTTACTTACAGTGACTAATTTTGCAAAGATGATAGAAAATGTTGGGTGAATAGATCCATTTAGGACAGAAGCCAGTGTTCCCAGAACCACAAAAGGCCATTCAGACTTGTTTAATTTAAATATTTTTAATAGAGAAACTTCAGGAAGACTTGTCTATAAATAAAACAAGTTGGTTAAGAACAACATCAGTCTGAGGACATTATGGAACCCAGGGAAGTGAGGCAGGACAAACAGAAGCACTCTGAAACCTAGCAAATACAACAGATGGCAGTGTACAATTGTATTTTCTTAGAAAAATTTACCACTGTTAGTACTAATGATGCGCCTCAAAAATACTTACATCCAAGTGATGATCTGTACAATGTCAGCTTTGGAATTCCACTCAGTTGCTATCACTAAGAAAGTACAAATTGGGGATGGAGAGACGGCTCAGTGGTTGAGAACCCATGTGGAAGCTCATAACCACCTCTAACTCCAGTCCCAGGGGATCTGATGCCCTCTTCTGGCCTCCACAGGCACTGCACACATGTGGTGCATAAGCATACATGCAGGAATAACAACCATACACATAAAAAATAAAATTAAAAAGTTAAAAAGAAAGCACTTACTAGGTCACATGTCAGGTAGCTAAGAATCGCAAGAAATAACAGAATCAGTTTTTCTTAATCTTGTTAGACTGGATTCAGTCTCATGCTTTAATTGAGGATAAAAAGTCATCAGAGAAAGTGCAAGAGGTCAATGTTTTACTAGGATTTTAGCCTTGAAAGTGTTCCAGTTCAGTTGGGTGGCATGGTGTGAGGGCACACATACTGTAAAGTGCACAGGCTGTGTGCTCAGAGCTAAGACTGAAGCGACGGCATCACGTTCAGTACATGTGAGGTAGCCAGGAAAGCTGTTATACTCATTACATGTTTGATATTGAATTAATATTTAGTTGTCATGCATTCAGGAATATTTTACTATTGTCATTTTTAAAAATTTTGGGGTGCCAGCTTTCAGCTCAGTGCCCCCATTTGCAGTTGTGAGTGACAGTTTTAAAAGGTGGAATTTTATTTTATTTTACTTTTTGTTTTGCCTCTAGGATTAAAAAAAATGCAGGTTTAAAAAAAAAGGAGTATTGGTTAAACAATGTTAACAAGACAGAAAAAATAAAATGAAATAAGACAAAATCAAAATGAAAAAAATCTCTGTAAAATCATGAGAAATGTCATACCTAGTATATTATGGATTATAGAATGTCTTAAGATAATCTGATGTAAAAATATGAGATAGGCATTTTCTGTAGAGACACAAACCAGTCTGATAAAGTTAAAAATCTCCTAAAGAATTAAAAATTTCATCTCATCTATTTTTGAATTTTATCGAGTTTTAATTTGCACATAGCCAACTGCACACACGTGTGTATTTTAGGAGTTTGGAAGTAGCTAGGTATTGATGAGACTGTTAACAGTTACCGTAGTTAACACAACTGCTTCCCTGGAAGGTTCCTCCCCTTTGCAAGCTGCTCTCCCCGGATGCTGGTCCAGCCCCTTGCCCTGAACCCACCTATGCCACTCACCTTGTGCTTCTCGCTTTGCGATCGGGGTGCTGCTGTTTTTTATTTTAATGCTTTGGGAGTTTTTAATTTAGCCTGAGCTCAAGTCCTACAGCAGATAAGTGGCTTATAAATACTTTCAGTTTATGGCTTATCCTGTTACTTGAATCTGTTTTATAAATGGAAATGTTCTTCACTCTAATAATATCTAATTTATTATTATTTTTCTTATCAGTATGTTTTTGATAATATATCTAGGAAATCTTAAAATCATGAAGACTTTCTATTGGATAGTCTCACATAAACTCAATGTTTTTACATTAATAAAGAGTGTGTGTGTGTGTGTGTGTGTGTGTGTGTGTGTATGTGTGTACATGTGCACATGCATGCCACAGGTATATGTGGAGGTCAGAGGTCAACTTTCAGGAGTCCATTCTATTCTTCTACCATGTGGTACTGGGGACTGAACTCAGGGTATCAGAAGACTTTACTCACTAAGCCATCCTGTCAGCTGGTTTTTGTTTTGTTTTATTTCACTACTGATTTTTTATTAAATGCTAGATGCTGTAAATTTTACTCTGCTGGGTACTTGAAATAAATGAAAATTCCCATGGCATCCATTGATGACATCCACAGTTTTTGACAATCTGACAGTAGTTTATTTCTTATATTCACAAAGTAATGTTAAACCTTTTCCAAGGGCTAGTGGGGAAAATTCTGATCCCCCCCCATTCAGATTAATAGATTTCTATCCAAAGATCTTCTGTGAGCTTGTGGACTATATAATAAAAAACAAAACAAAATAAACTAACATAAAACTAAAAAAAAGCCACAAATAAACAAACAGCAGCAACAATAAACAAAACAAAAAGAATAGCATTCAAAATTGAAAATTATTTTCTTTAAAAATTTAAAAATTAATTTTATTAATTTATTTTGCCCACATGCCTATATGTGTGTGCATGTGTGCATATATGTGTGTGTATGTGTGTGTGCACATGTCTGGTAAAAGCAAGCCCCTTTACCTGCTGAGCTGTCTTGTTGGACGGAAAATTATTTTTATGTGTTTATACAAATGAACCTTTAGAAAAATAAAAGTGATAGAAAAGAAGGGGAAAGAATAAGTGTGAATATCAAGAAGATCACATAGTAAAAGGGAATGCATTGTATCTAAAGTGTGAAACAGCTGATTGGCCGTGTCACACAGGGCATCAGGAGGGCTGGGGTACACCATCAGGCAGATAGCTGACAGATGAGAGGGAGAAGGTGGGCTGGGAGACAGCAGGAAGAGCCAAGGGAGCTTTAATCTGAATTGTCTGTTAGCACTAGGAAGAAGAATGGCTTTCTAGTTTGGGAGGTAACAGTGGGCCCAGGACAGCTGTTGGGGGATTGGCAGCTGGAGGCTAAGGACACTGAAGCCACCACACAGGAACTGGCCAGATGAGGGACTTCTGGTTAGAGGTAACAAATACAAAACAGCACACAGGGCCAGTGGAGAGGGCTGGGGAGAGGGAGAGCTCTGGGGCTCAGGGAACCGGGTGGAGGGAGATGCTTATGACAAGGTGTGCTGGCTGGTTCGTTTTTTGTTTGTTTGTTTTTTTTCCAACTTGACACAAGCCAGAGCCATTTGAGAGAATCTCAGTTGAGAAAATGCCTCCAATAGATTGGCCTGTAGGCAAATCTGTGGGTGCGTTTTCATGTGGGTGGTCCCAGCTCACTGTGGACAAGGCCACCCCTGGGCAGGGGTTGTATAAGAAAACAACCTGAGCAAGCCATGGAGAGCAAGTCAGTAAGCAGCCTCCATGGCCTCTGCTTCAGTTCCTGCCTTGAGTTCCTGCCCTGACCTCCCTTCATGATGGACTACAACTGTAAACTGAAATAAACCTTCTCTCCCCAAGTTCCTTTTGAGCATGGTGCTTATCATGGCAATAGAAACCTAACCAGGGACCGTACTGAGAACATTCAGCTGTGGGTCTGGAGCCCAAGCTGGGTTAAGAGGAAGGAGTTAAACTGTGACAGAGAAATGACACAGGGTAGGGTAGTGACTGAAGAGAGTACTGAGTGGTGTTGGGGGCAGGGAGGGATAAAGCAGGGTGACCTTTGTCTTGGGAGCAGGGAAAAGTACGCCTGGGGACAAGTATCTCTATCCAGGGAGCTGCGTCAGAGGTCGGAACTGTATGTGGGGCTTATCTGCCTCCAGGCTGTTGCAGCGGGAGTGGCCGGTGAGAGAGACATTGAGATTAGTTAGAAACCCCTCTCCACCAGGACTACATGCAGAGAAAGTGGGTAGTATGTAAATGACCAATCAAAGGTCATGATACTGGGCTGGTTGCAATTCTCAAGCTCACTTCCATTCTTAGGTGTGCCTTTTCCTTCTTAATAGTAGGTTTAGATTTCTATGACTATTCACTTGTTGCTGGTCCAGTTCTTTGTTCTGAGACACAAGGACCTGGAAGTCCCACTGGATGACCTCTGGACTCAGTTCAGAACATTTTGACCCAATTTAATCTGGGGTGGTCCTGGTGGTGTATCCCACACTTCAAGATGCTGTCTTAATCCATGGTTTGCCTTCTAGGAAGGAACGGCATATTTTCATAAGATTTTCCCCCTCCCCAGCAAAGACCTTTGACATAAATGTGATTCATTAGATGACCTCCTTTGTGCCACAGGGAAAAGAGAGCAAATGTTTTGTGGACTTAATGGTACAGTACTAGTTTATTTTAAGTCAATTATACATTTTATAAGGATTATTTGGGCACTGGAGAACATGTATGCAAGCATGTTGACAGGTGACCCCATTACCTTTTGATGGTGGATGGCTTCCTCAGGCTGGTCAGCGCAGGGGGACTTGATGCTACTCACATCACACAGAGAAACAGAGCTGGTATTTCCTTCAGAGGAACACGTCTTTGACTCCATTTGTTCATCAGCTTTTTTAATATCCTTAAATGAAGAATGTATAGGCTGTCATAACGATGCCTTAAAAATACAAAGGCAGGGCTAGGGAGATAGCTCAGCTGGTGACGTGCTCAGCAAACATAAGGACCCGACTTTGGTCTCTAGAACTCAAAGTTAAAAAAATAAAACCGGGCATGATGGAATGTACTTAGTATCCTAGTGCTGGGAGGAGAGGAAAGGGTGCTGCAGGGGGGAGCTGGGGTTCGGGAGCAACTGGAGGGTGAGGATGGGGGGACAGATAGAGATGAGTGGATCCTGGGGCCTGGCTGGCCAGATGTCCAGCCTGCTTGGTGAGTTCTAGGCCAGTTCCTCCCTCCCTCCCTCCCTCCCTCCCTCCCTCCCTCCTTCCCTCCCTCCTTCCATTTGTTTGTTTGTTTGTTTGTTTATTATACAGTGTTCTGCCTGAATGTGTCCCTGCAGGCCAGAAGAGCAAGCCAGATCTCATTACAGGTAGTTGTGAGCCACCACGTGGTTGCTAAGAATTTCTGGAAGAGCAGTGAGTGCTCTTAACTACTGAGCCATCTCTCCAGCCCCCTAGAGACTCTTTCTTAAAAAACAAACAAGCAAACATATCCACACAGGTACACACACACACACACACACACACACACACACACACACACACACAGGAAAAAAATACAAAGGTATTCTGCTGTGTCACTTGAAAGCTTGTGTGTGCGGCCAGGACCTGAGATCGTAGGAGACAATAATACTTTCCTGGCCAGCAGCCACAGCCCAACCCAGACTGGGATTTCAAAGCAAAATGAATATGTGTGCATTGCGGCTCCTTGAGAAAAAAAAATACAGAAAAATCAAACTAATAAAGTGTTAAAATATAGATTAGGGTTAAATTCTAAGCTAGATTGCACTGGACCTGGTTTTTCTTTTTCTTGCAATTTAGAAAAATGAGGGCAACTCCAGTGAAACACAGAGCAATGTTCACCGTCGTCCCCTCTAGTACAGGGAGCTGGCAAGGGAGAATGAGAGCTCAGACAGGATGGGAGAAAGATAGGGAGATGGAGGCAGGGTCAGGTGGGCAAGGAACAGTGCGCAGGACCACATTCCAGGGATGCTCAGATTCCTCAGCAATCTGAAGAACAGTTAACGAATCACACAAAGCCACAGTGAACTTTAACCAGACTGTCTTGCCTTAACATCTGTAATCACACACTTTTTTATGCTATCATCACCTTTTCTGTTATTTTTCTACTGCGGAAGAAATCTTTTATTTGGCTATGTTTTTCTTCAGAAATTATTTAATCTGTGGAAATTTTAAAATAGAATTTGACCTGCTTTCATAGTAAAGTTTTCTAAGGAGGAATTCTATTATTGGTTGAAGACAACTTATTTTTTTAAGGAGCTTGCTAGACAAAAGAATGATGAGGATGGGGGTGGGTGTTAAAGGTTTTAAGTAGAGACGGGAGAAAGAAAGATTAAGGGCCAATCAAAACTAAGGAGGTATGAAAACTTCTTATGGAAACCTATTACTTTGTAAGGTAACTAAAAAATATAATTTTTTTTTTTTAAAAAAGGAGTTTGAACATAAGTACCCTGCATGGGTAAATGAAAATCTTAGTGCCAGGCCTCAAACACCCCCTTACAACTCAAGGAGTCCTCAGAGGCCTCCAAAGCAATACAACCTGTTGACATTGCTCTTGGTTACTCGCCAGAACTAGAGGGTAAGACCATATTGTTGAAGATAAAACATATTTTGATTGTAAGACACAGAGAAACCAAGCTGAGACCGGCCTGAGAAGTTCTTTCCTGCTGGCCAGCTTCCCTAGTACTGGAAGGCTTTATACAGGAAGCTGGGTGGTGGTGGTGGGACAGGGAGGTGGGGTAAAGGCAGCAACAGTCTTACCCAGCACTGGACCCTGAGTACTGCAGTACTGACCTACCAGGCAAGGCATGAAGGTTATTGAGGAACCAACTGCTTTCTTATTGAATCTGAGGCCTGGACACAGGAGGGAATTGTTGTCTAATACCGTAAACATGCTCAGAAGTCCACAGATTGGATGGTCATAAGTCTTAGGAGGGAACATGTGTTGTTAAATGAACATGCCAAATTGTCTTTTAAATATTTATGCTTGTATTCATAGGTTAGTGCTGCTCTCAGTCTTGGCCAAAGAAGCCACCTTCCACAGTGGACATCAGTTAATATGAGACTGATAGCTGGCTAAAATAGCTGAGAACAAGGGACTGTTGGGTGCTTAGCTCTAAACTGGACACCTCAAGGCTCAAGGAGCATGTAGAAGAAAAGGCAGAGGATGGGGAAGAGAGCTTGAAATGCTGTCCTCTGGACGTGATGTGGCCATTGCATTCACTAACTCCCACCAGCCATGGTTATCTGAACAACATCAAGCCAGCAAGTTCAGTCGATCCTGCAGGCAGCACTGGCTGGACTCAGTGGGTTGCAAAAACAGAAAGAAAGAAAAGAAAAAGAAAGAACAGTACATGGAGGTGGGCGGGGATGCTGAGGAGTATGTTCCGAAGTTGGGCTGGAGAGCGATGGAGAAACATTTTATACATGTGCAAAATTGTCAAACTACCAATAAAAGACATCCTAAAAAATGCATCTGAGCCAGGCAGTGGTGGCACATGCCTTCAATCCCAGTACTCTGTGAGTTAGAGGCTAGCCTAGTCTATAGAGTGAGTTCTAGGAAAGCTAAGGCTACACGGAGAAACTCTGTCTCAAAAGACAAAACAAAAACCAACAAAGAACAAAAATGCATCTGTACTGGATTTGTTTCTTTGTTTGTTTGGTTTTTTTTTTATTTATTTATTTTTTTGCCTGAATGCATGTGCCTGGTGCCATGGAGGTCAGGAGAGGGCATCAGATCCCGTGGAAATGGAATTATGGATAGTTATGATGCATCATGTGAGTGCTTGGAACAGAACCTGGGTCCTTATGAACAGCTGATGCTCTTACGCACTAGGCCATCTCTGCAGCTCCTCTGGACCTTATTTCATATCCACAAATGCACAAATAACTCCAAATACTCAAATAACTCAGTATTAATTAATTACTGTATTTCCCTCATGTTAGGGATTAGAAAATAGAAGCATAGAGAATTTAATAAATTTATCCCAGGCCCTAAAAGTGTAGCCTCACAGAGTCGGCTGGCAGTGGCGGCAGCTCATTCCTCAGCTACTGAGCTGAGCTGAGCTACTTCTCAGGTTTTCTTTCCCTTTCCCATGTATATGTACTCTCTGACTCCGTCTGTCTGTCTCTGTCTCTGTTTCTCTCTGTGGTGTGTGTGTGTGTGTGTGTGTGTGTGTGGTGTATATGTGCTCTCCGACTCTCTCTCTCTCTGTCTCTCTCTCTGTCTCTCTCTCTGTCTCTCT